CCAGCATTCATTCCTGCCTGTGGCAGGGGGTCAGGCTAGATGATCTGTTCAGGTCCCTCCTGACCCTAGCTTCTATGAAACTATGAAACAAGTAAAAATATTTTAGAATGGTTGTAAAATTAAGAATAACTTTTAGGATAAAAATGTTTTCTTAAATGTTACATAAATAGCAAGAGATTGGAAAGCATGTACAAAAGTAATTGTCTTAGTTTAGGAAACTAAATAATAGGTATTTTTTTTTCAGTTTTCCAACCAAAGATTATTGGTAGTTTAGAAACTACCATAACTGTTGAGGGTACCAAGTAGTGGGCAGTGATAGGATGAATAGACTACCACCTTCTCCGTTGTTAGGCCAGCATGCAGCCAGTGAAGGGAAGCGGCAGAGTAGGCAGTTAAGATGCGCTGGTTCATTATATCTCGTACACCAGTTCCACCGTTGGACCATGCTCAAAGCAAGTACATAGCAGTATAAATATTGTGCACAGATTTAAGGATGTCTGTGCTTAGGTATAAGATTAATGTGAATAGAGAATAAACTGTGGCAGTGTAATGAAGGAGACTGGTGTCTGTCTCCTTTATTTTAGAATTACAGAGTAGACTGAGTGAGGCAGAGACCTGAAGAGAAAAAGTGTTAAGTACTATAGAAAGCCCATCAGGAATATAATAATTTTGTCTTCAAAGCATTTGAACAGGGTAGAAAAATAAGGCATTGAACAATAAAGATAAAACAACGTATTGAACAGTTGCTCATTAATTGCATATCATCCACTGAACAAATCAAGGCAGAAAGGTGTCAAATCAGGGTTGCAGAAGTAACAATCATTCTAGCATTTTCCATCATTTAACTGTTAGTGCATTGATATTAATTGGAGTTAGGTCCCTGAACGGCTTGGAGTATCAGCCTTAGTGTCTATCACCTGCTGCACTTCTTAAGTGACAATACTTGAATTCTGGTGACCTCAAGGAGACCATTCTGTACTGGGTTGGCTGTGCTCTTTGGCCCCACATGGAGCATTGGCTAGAGCCATGTACCACCAGGCAGCAGTGCCTACACAGGCCGCAAATGCCCCCACCTGCTGCTGCTAGTGGGGTGGGGGAGGGGGGGTTGGGGGTACCCTCACCACCCCACCTTTCTTCACACCCACACCCTGCCCATCTGAACTCCATGCTTCTGCCACCCCCCTGCATGGCTGGGACCTGCACGGTGCCAGACCCACTCATCCCATCCCAGCTGCAGTGTGTGGTTCTGGGCTGCAAGGCCAGGACCTGCACAGCACAGCATGGAGCCAGCCCGGCTTGGCCTGGTGGCACATTGGAGTGCCAGGAGGTGTGGGAAGCCCCGCTGGGCTGGCTCTGTTTCTCCATGTAGTGCTCCTGGCATTCTAGTCAGGAGCAGTACGTGGAGGCACGGAGCCAGAGTCCTGCAAACCCCATGGAGTGGGGCGATCACCGACGGCCCCCCACCCATTCTTAACTGAATTTCCACTCTTGGATGGAGGGAGGGGTAGGGAACAGTCACAGGGTCGTCAGGGCAGAAGTTTCAGCTAGGCAGAAGCTTTTGGGGGCTGGAGGTGCGGTTGGGCGGGGCCAGGGTGGTCGCACAGCATCCAGAGCCCAAGCTGCTTGCTGCTACAACTGGTGCCTGCTGCAGCCAGCGGCTCCTTCCACTGGCACATCGTCAGCTTTCAGACAGGCAGCCATTGGCAGGTAATAATAGTCTAAATTTTAGAGGGGCCCCATGGGCCTGATAAAATGGCCTAGTAGGTCATATCTGGGACGCAGGCCATATTTGCCCACCCTTAGTTTAAAGTGTCAAAAAGTATGTTTATCTATACCCCATGTAGATTATAACTGATTCATTGTTTTTGGGAAAGCTTATTTAATTCAGATTTGCTCTGCTAATCAACTAAAACCATACATGTATTCTTCATAATTATTTTTATTAGCAATAATGAAATATAAACCTCTTATGAAAATATGTTTAACATTTCAAGATATAGGAATTACTTTATCTTTAAAAATATACTGCTATGCATCAAAAACAGTAACTTCTACAAGACATAATTTCACATACATTTAACAATACAAGCTACATAATAAATCTAGACATTATAGAAATTCTTAAAATCTGTAAAGGGAGATATCTGATTTTCTCTCAGATTTTTTGTCAAACTACAGTACAAAATATAAAATTACCTACTAAAAAACTGCATGAGTGTAAATACTTCAGTATATGAGTATATTGGCCCTAGGGTATATACAGTCCCCATATCACCTCCATGACTACAGTCTTACAAACATACCTCTTTTCTCTTAGAACAGTCATAGTAAAATGACTCTACTGATAGCAGCTATGCAATGCTGAAGTCCAAACTGCACATCTGATATCAATATTATTAACTCTACCTCCCTGAATACCTGCAGTTGTGCTCATGGGATTGATGCTGGGAATCTTATGCAACCTATGAGTACACAGCTTATCTGATGCGTTTTATAATTATATTACTAGGGATGTTAAAATGCAGCTGGGAAACAGAATCTTCCTGTCTGACCCATGCCAGGCATCAAATAAAGAAATTTTAAGAGACTATTCCAGCTAGATACTAACATATTTTGAAGGTCATTACTGAATAAAGCTCAGCAAAGGAGAGGAAAATGGAGACATTTCCTCCTGTCAAACTATTAGAAGTGGCAAAATGTACTTCTTCATCACCAGTGAACTCAAGAAGCTCTCTCTCCATCTTAGAAAAGCATTCAGATACAGAAATGCAGGATTCCAACAGAAGTTGGAAAACACAAATATCCGACCAATTGTGCTATGCAGGGGTTTAGTGAACCCTACTGTTGCACTAACTTCAAAATCCTGTGCTGTGTTAGAAGTACATTTGGAGAAGACAGCCAGGCCCTCAATTCATGTGAGAAGTTTCATTGACATTCCCATGCACTTCCTTAAATTCTTGTTATAGGAATATTTGATTTACTTGGGGTTTTGGCAACCAAATTTCCCCTGACAGGTTGGGCTTGCTAGAGTTATTATGTTTGGACCATTAGCTTCACGTGGTAGATAAGGCTTTTCAGGTGGATGAGGTGCTGAGGTTGTCAAGTCCTACAGACATTACTGCAGCTGATTACACTGTGGTTTTGCATAGTAAAATACACATCAATCCTGATGCACTAGCAATGATTTAAACTTCTACCCTGTATTTTTGTGCAATGCAACATAGTATGATATATTATTTTTTCAATTGAGAAGCTCTTGAAATCAGTAGTTACAAATGTTCTGTTAATTATAACATAACTTTCTTTACTAAAAATTATATGCAGCAATACTGCAAATCATACCAAAGGAAAAATGACTCTTAAAAATGACACAACAATGTCCAATTTTCTAAAAAAATGTTTTAAAGGACATTGATATAATTAAAAATGAATACCATGTTTGTAACTCAAAACCTAGCGAAACAGAACCCAAAACCCTGAGAATTTTGCTGCCATTCCAGAGTAACAGTTTCTTTAAAAAGACGAGGAAGAAAAAAAGACTTGGGACAAAATTATATGGTAATTCAAAGCAAGTTTCAGGCTAAAATTCTGATACATAAGCCGTTAAAAACAGATGCCCGCATATCCAGCACAACAATAAAAGAAAAACATGTTCAATTATTATTACATTTTAAAATAAGCTAAGAAAAATCAAAGGAATTACTTTAAAATGACAATAAAATGCAGGAAAACATTTAAAATTGTTTTTTAAAATCCAGTTTGAGGTGCTTAAAAACATACCCAGCTGAAGTTATTTCCATTCTTAAAAATGACTCTGGAAAGGCAGGTTGTAAATTCTTAGAAACCATACTTTATATACAGAACAAACTACATCAATATTATATATATCATTGTAATTAAGGTTTTCATCATTACTTTATTTGATCTAAAGTATGTTTAAAAATCAAAATATGAGTACTGTATCTTTAAATAATAATACAGTGTAATACAAAATTGAAATCTCCTCATATTATTTTACATAATTTATGAATCAAGTTAAACCTTATCTAACAAGGTGTTACATGGCCTAAACCGGTACAGGTTTAAATGGCAGCTAACGATATTCAGGAATCAGATCTCGAAATACCTGGTTTAACAAAACAGAGAGCACACTGAGTTTTTTATTGGGCAGAATACTGAAGAAATCCTGCAACTTTTGATTTAAAAAACAAAACAAAAAAAAAAACCCTTTTCCCTCAACTGTTAGCTAACTGGCAAGAATTATGTTGTTTTTGAAAAGTATTCATGAAATTTCCATTAAGACTGGGTGAAGTTTTAAATGAGAAAGAACTCAAGAAAAAGCATTTCCAAAGTTACTAAATCAAGTCACCTGTTTTAAATCTGCATATGTTCAGCACTAGAATAAATAGTCTAATAAAATAATAAAACAAAAGACCTCTCTTCAGTCAAGTAGTGCAGGCAATTAAAGTGTAAAGAGCGATTTTTTATAGTGCACAGATTTAAACAAAAATATTTTCAACATAATTTATAAGAAACAAACTTGTATACTGTTTTTTATTCTTTACTTTGGAAAGGAATTGTTATATTTTAGCCTTTTTTTTTTTTTTTAATTATAATTCCCTTTCCTAGAGTTTTGATGTTGGCTTCAATAAAAGCAACCTAGGAAAATAAATACTGATCCTTCCAGAGAAGCATGTCAAAGCACTTTATCCCCAAACTATACCAAGGTGGTATATAGCAGCTGTTTAATATTATTTCACAGAGTGATGTTACACACACAAGTACCCATGCCTAACAATAAGAACATAGCCATTAGTAAAACATATCTACTAGTGAGATATATTCTGTACACAGTTATACAACATTCTCCTCTTTTAGAGGAAGCACTGTAAATGACTGAAAATGCCCCAGGACCCAGAGTAAAGGGCCTTATAAAACTTCTTTAATCGCTGTTAGACTGAGACCCAAAAGAGAACTCATTTTGCAGACCCTCTATATTTTATACTAACATTTTCTTCCTGCTCAAACATGTGGAAGACAGGGCTCCACAATGTAAGCCTTTTTTTAGTATATCTCTATCAATAAGTAGTCTACCAAAATGACTGCCTGTGCAATGAGTGCAGAATACATTTTGTACAACCTCCACTATGATCCTGGCTAACCAGTGTTTTCTCTGGAATTTCAAAATCTCATGTTAGCCAGCAAAAACATAAAAAATGAGAGGGCTTCTTATGAAAAAGCATCAATATATGGCTTACTGCAAAGAAGAATGCAACTGTTTCGCACATACAATTTTTTTATAAAATTATTTAAATAAAATCATTGGTGTACAGCATTTAAAATAATCTATTTTTAAATACTTATATAATCAAAATATAAGATATCTTTTTGCATAGAATTAAGCAAAGTGCAACTACAGCATAATGTTCCATACCATAAAAAATTCACAAGTGTAACATTAAATTGACACAGTGTGAGTTAAACTACTGAAAGGAGATTTTAGATTGGTAAAAAAGAAATCTGATTAGAAAACCACAACATTTCCCTAAAAAAAAAATTCAGAAAGATTAAATGGCCTGTATTCATTTAAGACCAAAGTGAAAATTAAAATAAATTCCTACACACCTGGCTTTATTTTTGTGCAAAAAAATGTCAAAGGCTTCTAAGTGTGTCAGCCTTGTGATCCAGTCTGCTGTGCTGTGGAAAATTTTTGGTTTCCTTTTGTTGAACAGAGCTGACACTTTATTGAGTACACGTAATTATAAAGCAGTCACCACATCATTTAAAAAAATAGAAGCTTATGTAGTTAGTGATGGAAAGAGAACGAAAAACTTAATTCTCCACTGTCTTCAATCTTTCACTCAGTTCTCTCTACAAAGCGAGTGCAAAAGACTCCCAAATTAGAATGGCAGTCTTCTATTCCCATTTTGCAGACATGCTAATGACTACATGTATAAGTGGTGAATCAGGATTATAAGGAACAATAGTAGTTCCTGCATAAGGAAAATAAAAGCTTCTATCAAAGTTACTCTCTGTTAAGACAGAAAAGAGGAAACTTTTCATAGATCTTCCCTGATTAAATACAGGTAAGTGTGACCAGAATTGGAACAGACTTCCCAAGGAGGTGATGCTGTCCTCAACCTTGGAAGTCTTCAAAAGGAGACTGGACAGGCACCTTGCTGCGATCTTTTGATCTCAGCAGTAGTCCTGCCCAGAGCAGAGGGGTTGGACTCCGTGATCTTTCAAGGTCCCTTCCAGCCCTTAATTTCTATGATTCTACACCACAGAAAAGCACATATAAAACCAACTAATTAAAACATCTTCAGTACTCCACACAAGTCAGCTCACTCTTTTTCTTGGGGATAACTCAATAATATATAGTTTAAAACATTATTTTAAATAAAATAAATATTTTATGGTAAATATTTCCCAAGATCGCTAATCTCTGTTCTTGTAATGAGTGTTTAGCTTGCTAGACTTTATTTTGTTTAGCTTTTTTTGAATTTTGTTGCCACTTACGAACAGCAGTTCCAGAGCTACTAGCTACTACGCAAAGAGCACCACCCACTGTCCACCAAGATGGTATATGATTAAGGAAAAGAATCTGTAAAATAAAAGCAAACACCACATCCATTGTTTTCATGATGGCAACAGGACCAGCTTTCTCTATCTGCAAGGCTTTTGTGAGAAATATCTGACCCCCCAACCCTAAGATTCCAATTAATATTAGAAGAAGTCTGTCTGTACCACAATGTGGTAAGCTCCATTCGTCTATTATAGACAGTGCTATAATGCATTCAATTAATCCAATTACTGCATAATACCAAATAGACAAAAAATAGTGCACTGATTTCCCCATCTTTCGTAGTATAACAAAAGTCGAAGCTGCAGACACTGCACTTGTGACAGCTGCTACTGTCCCTTTAAGATGATCTGTATAGCTGCCTTCTATCCCTGTAACAATGGATCCAAACAGAAAGGGTGGTCTAGCAATAAGCACCACTCCGGTGATTGTGAAGAGCGTGAAAAGAAGATCCCAAAGACTGTATTTTTCCTTGAGAAATATCCAGGCTAACAATGATGTAAAAACTGGACTGCTGAAAGTTATAACAGTGGCATCAGCCAGAGGCATTACTTGGAAAGCGTAGTAGAGAAGAATCATTGCACTAGAGCCAAGGAATCCTCGGAGGAAAAGAAAAACTCGTTTACCTTTTGGTCCCAAAAAACCTGTTCTGAATATTAAGAACAACAAATATAACATATTAATTTCATGACATGGCGACATTATAACTAAACGTTTAATTACACTTAACTGTACTCTTTACAAGTAAGAGACTTTTCATCAAGAAACTGTCTGAAATACTTGATTTAGCAAAGACGTATTTATATTACATTAACACTTAGACATCCAAATTAGAATTAAGGACTCATTGAATTACTGCTTGGAAGATATCCCAAGGAAAAATGCAAGTAACACCTAATTACCTTCTTATTTTAAGGCTCTCTCAAAGTTCTAAGTACTTCTAGAATAGTTCATTCTCTTGTGATACAGAGACCCTTTTTTTCAAAAAAAGTTTCTTGAAATTCATTAATAAAACAATGGGATTTCTTTAAGTAGAAGTTACAAATATTGCTCAAGAGCATGTTCTGATCCAGTTAAAATCTAAATTAAAATACTTGCTGTCCAATTTAGTCTCAAATTTAGTGTATGAGAACCAGATATAATACTAGCTATAAGGTATCAGGTGAAGGCTAGTATTTCATAAAAAAAAATTTTCAGGCATAATACTTACTCATAGTATATTAAACCAGGAAGAACAAATGACATTTGGAAAATGCATCGAAATGCACTGACTTCTACTGAATGTACATCTTCAATTTTTTTTAGAAATAAAGCGGCCACTGAGAAAAGGAAGGCAGACAATAAGGTATAAAACAGGCCAAGTCCTGGACAGGCAGCCTTCTTCTTTGTTCCTGTAACACATAATACATGCCAGTTAGTAATTCATTTAATTCCTGGAAGCTTTTTGAAGTGGGTCTGGAAAGAACGTGTGTGTATCCAATTGTTGTAGTTTTTCCTGTAATAAGGAAAAAGAAGGTAAAGGAAGCAAAAAACCCTTACCCCTTGTATTTATTGTAAACATATTGAAAGTATATTTGACTTTCATATTTAATATTTTCTTTGCTATCGATGTGAAATCCAGTATGGCATGGATATCAAATCATCATCTTGCCTCCTGAAAATCACATTTTCTTTATTAGCTGAGGTGGGTTACACCTTCAGTCAACAGTGAAACATTTGGTCATACTTTAGAAGGTTTCTAAAAGAAAATTAAGCATTTTTTAACACTGCTCAAAAATCAGAATTTAGCATATGTAATTTTCTGTCATGCAACATAAGGCATCTTATTAAATGCCAAAAGACAAAAACATTGTCTAAAAAACCAGACATGGATAGGCTTATGGAGGAAAGCACACAGAGAGAAGAATGAATTCTTATTGCCTGCATGCTTCCTTGTTTGAGTACTACAGTATAAAGCCAAACTAAATAAATGAAGTGCATATTCAATAAAATTAAATAAAAGAAAGAGAGAGATAAAAGGCATTGTGCATTCAGCACCATCTGACTGTAGACCTCACTGGAACATCAGTCTCTCTCTCTCTCTATATATATATCACTCGCAAAAAGGCTTTACTAAAGCATTGGCCAAAGTAGGCCTGACCTGACCAATGTGTGAACTCCTTACATAAGCAAAGCTTGGCCCATGGGCCAGATGTGCACTCCTACCAGAAGATGGGAGGGGGAGATGCCTGTACAAGGTGTAGGATAGCTCAGTAACAGGGTGATAAGGCTAGAATGGGAACACCCAGATCAGGATGTGGAACAAGCCAATGGTTCAGGATGGCTTAAGACAGTCAAAATACTGGTGCAATGTAATATACAATCTATTTTAACCACAATATACAAGGAGATTGGATACTATGGGAACTTTGTATCGGCCTAGGGAAGCCTACATGGTATTGTGCCAATACCTTGTCATAGACATATATGTGTTAACACCTTGTCTGTCAGACCACAAGTGTGTTACAGCCATGCCCCCGTAGGCAATAAACCTGGCTGAGCCATTGCCAATGAACCAAGTCTGTGGTCATTCTTTAAGACAAGACTGGTACTGGGATCTCCTGGATACAACTTTTTGCTGGCACTGAAGTCCCTGAGACTTCAACACTGACAACACATCAATAACATCCAATGAGGACTGCAACGATGACACTGACTTTTGACTTGGGGCCCTGTCACACGTTCAGATTAAAACTGAATAGAAACCAGTTATAGAGTTGTTATGCATTTTCAAGCATTAACATTATAGCTGGTTAGCTCTTTTTATAGTTGAGTAGTCATTTTTATTATGTGCTAATTACGTTGCACATGTGGCCTGAACTAAATTTATTGCAAGATTAACTAGTGAATTGCATAATATATGTAATGTATAGCAGGGGCTGAAGAGACTGGAAAAATAATACAATTTTGGGAACTCCTAAATTTTGTAAAATACCCAATATATTAGGTATGTCCAAGAAGCGTAATTTATGTCCTAACAATGACCTGTCAGAAAATAAAAAAGGTATCGAATTGACAACACTGGTATCTCAGATTGCCCACGCAAGTACAGTGTGCAATGAGAAAAGTGGACTTATATTTCCTATTAAAAATAAAATATATTAGGGTTGCACTGATACAGATTTTTGGAGCCAATACCAATAGCCAATTTTTAAGGGGGCATATCAGCCAATACCCATCTGATTTCCGACACCAGCCTGGCAGCTTGAACAGCTGCATGCAGTAGTAAGTCATTTGTGGTGGAAGGGGAGGGGAAAGATATAGGGTGTGGGGGGACGGGGGTGCAGATCAAGGCCCCTGTTGCAAGGGAAGAGTGGGGCTGGCGCAGGCAGCTCCCGCTGCTGCGCACCACTCGTCTGGGAGCCACTGGTCCAGTGGCTCGTCTGGAGGCCCCTGCTGTTGCTCCCGCTGCTCATCCAGGAGAGCATGGGGGAGGCGTGTCCCCCAAAATCTGCGCAGGGCAGGCTGGGGCTGGGACTGTGCCAAGCTTTTCCCGGCGGGGTGAGCAGCAGTGGCACTGGGAGTGGGTTCCTGCGAGGGTGGGTGGGCTGAAGCCACCCCAAAATTCCCCATAGCCCCCTCCCAGTGCCACCGCTACCTGCCCCACTGGGAAGAGCTTGGTGCAGCTCCAGCCCCAGCCTGCCCCGCGCAGATCTGGGGGCGCACTCTCCCCATGCCCTCCCAGATGAGTGACGGGAGCCACCAGACAAGAGGGCGAGCACTGGATGGGCTGCTGGACCAGCAACTACCAGACAAGCAGTGCGCAGCAGTGGGAGCTTCCCCACCCCACTCCCCGTGGCCCCAGATGAGCCGCGGTTGTCCCATGCCTGCCCCAGCCCCAGCCTCGCTCCTCCCTCACCGCAGGGGCCTTGATCTGCCCACCCACACCCCTTCCTTTCCCTCTCCCCACACCAAACTTACGAGCTACACGCAGCTCTCCAAGCTGCCCAGCGGTGCTCCTTGCTGCCTATGTGCTGTGCTGTGGCTGTGCGCATGCACGGGCCATTTATTGGCCAAATTATCGGCCATATCAGGCTGATTTCCAATACAGACAATTTTCTTTATATTGGTGCCAATCTGATATTGGACTGATGTATCGGTGCAGCTCTAAAATATATCCTTTCTCTAACGAAGTTGCTCAAGAGACCTTTCCTTCAAAGTAAACTTTAAAAAGAAATAAGTAAGTTAATATATCCACTTCATAAAGTATAACTAGAGACTTCTCATTTTCTGCAAAAATCCTGACATCAGGCATTTTCTGTGGAAAAAAAAATAAAAATCAGACAAATCTGAGAAAAAAAGTACCCATACAAAAAGTGGGGAAAAGTGGGGCTCCGTGTGAAAATAAAAGGTTTTTATTTTCCCACTCTGGGCAGCAGCCAGGATGGTTGCTTTCCCTGCCCCTGGCTCCTGATTGGGCAAGAGGGTTGCCCTCATGCAGCCTCTCAGCCCTGCAGCCTGGGCGGACAGGGACAGGCCCAGCCCTGCTTTTTTCTTCCCCCCCTCCTTTTTCCCCCCCCCCCCCCCCCCCCATGGGCAGCCACAGCTGCGTGGACCAGCTGGGCACATCTCGTGGGAAGTGGGTGCTGTGTAGGGTGGAGGGTGAGGGGAGCAGAGCCGGACTAGGGCAGGGGTGGGGAGCATGGCATGGATGGGGGTGGGAGGGGGCAGCCCTCCTTTTTCCCCCCCCCCCCCCCCCCCCATGGGCAGCCACAGCTGCGTGGACCAGCTGGGCACATCTCGTGGGAAGTGGGTGCTGTGTAGGGTGGAGGGTGAGGGGAGCAGAGCCGGACTAGGGCAGGGGTGGGGAGCATGGCATGGATGGGGGTGGGAGGGGGCAGCAGAGCCCAGATGGGGGGCAGCAGTGGCTCATCCCTGTACTTGTGTGGGGTCAGGAAGGGGAGGAGGGCA